TGCGGCACTGATGAATTGTCACATGAAAGTAGGCATCCTTTAAATCGAGAGGCGCATACCAGTCCCCCAGCTCTACAGAAGGGATTATGGAAGCTAGAGTGAACATCTGGAATTTTGATTTTTTTTAAGAACTTGTTTAACTGCCTTAGATCTAAAATAGGCCTGGCACCCCCTTTCGGCTTTGGGATCAGGAAGTATCGGGAGTAAAACCCCTTTTCTCTGAAAAAGGGAGGGACATCCTCTACAGCTCCTACAAGGAGTGATTGTATTTCTTGCAGTTACACTGTCTCGTGAGAGGGTGGTCCCTGCAGAGGGATGGGGAAGCAAGATGGAGGTAGAAATAAATTAGAGCATATATCCCACTCCTACTGTGCTTAGAACCCAACGATCTGTTGTGATGTGAGTCCAAGCATGACAGAGTAGGAAAGGAAAAACTGGAAAAGAAAAAAGATGGCACTTTTAGAACAGTTAGACTGCTCTCAACCTGTCCATCCAGGGATTTCAGGGCTGCTCTACAGCTTTTGAAGGGGGATAATTATACAGGTACTTGAACTCCTTTGAAAGGACATAGTACCTCCTGTCCACTCTTTTTGCAGTTGGAGGCATGGAAGCTGGTCTCTGCCAGAGGATCTAAGATAGCCTCATTTATAGGGTGTGCTATTCTGGCTGGAGATGCAGATGTCAATATGTCCACCAGCTTGTGAGATTTTTTTCCTGGACCTCCTCCATTGGATGTCTAGGGCCATAGTTACCCCCCTGAACAATTTCTGATGGGTCTTAAAATCATCAGGAAGCAGAGAAATAGGCTCCGCCCCAATTACCTTATCAGGAGATGAGGAAGAGGATGCCAATAGTACTGGGGGATTGTCCAGTTCCTGCTCCTTTTGCAGCTGGTCATGAGAGGGATCTCAAATCTGTTCCGTGCCAGGCTTGCTACCAATGCTAGAGTGCTTGTGCTGCCTATGCTCTTGATGATCAGTAGATGGAGCTTCCTGAGGTGTCTGCGGGGATGTTCCTGAATGACACGGGGAGCCCCATGGGCTCCAACCAGGCAATGCCCAAGGATTCCTTCTATAAGCTCCTTGCTGTAACTGAGGCTGAAACCAGGGCAGGCAGGTAACATACTAGTGACTTTGGAACTGGCTAGGCTGGGACATATAGGATCCCACTTCAGAGTTTGATGAAGCAGCTGCCTCCTTTTGTGACCATGGTGGTGCCACATCCATTGGTACTGGTGAAGCAGGTTCAGACTCTGAAGAAAGAGGAGTCAGGGAGGTCATCTGTGGCTTTGCTCTTGACAGTACTGATTTAACCAGTATCCTGACGTCTGAATCGATGGAACTGCCCAGTGCAGAGGTGAAGGCGCTTACGATTGTACCTTGGAAACGCATGACAGGTGAGTCTCTTGAATTGCAGGTAACAGCAGGACCGAGAGATTCAGCAACTCTCTTGCAACCTCAAATGTCTCAGGAGTAGACCACACCAGGAAGACACTCTGCGGTTCCATGCTGTGAGGAGATGCTGATGAAGGTGATTCAGGGACCAGTCTCGACATGCCTGTACTGGGCTCCAGAGTCAATGAACTCCCCTGTTTAGAGGTGTGCTCCAGGGAGTACCTTCTCCTTGAATGCACCCATCTTTAGAAAGGCTTGACCTCTTTTGCCAGTCCCAGCACCCTATCCAATTTCCATGACTCTTCCTCAGTACTGGTGATACCAATCTGCCTCTCAGCACCAGTAGTGCTGGAAGTGAGCTAGTGGTCAATGCCGAGTCGTTTGTACCTGGAGTGAGGTAGACAGCTCAGATGAAAGACATAGCACCTATTTGAGGAGCAGATACTTTACTCTTTTAGAATGGAGGCTTAAAGTCCTTACACTTGTTGCTCACAGCTGGGATAAGGGTCACTATTAAGCATTGCCTTATCACAAGAGTGCCAGGGCTTGAAACCTGGAGAGTGCAGCATATCTTTGGTACCGGGTGCCAGAACCACACAAAACAATAATTAAAAAAAATTATTTACAAACTAACTATAGAAAGGCCACTGTTCACAGGATTTGCCTAAACACTTGCAGAAGCAAAGAGAGGGAGCTCCAAAAACCATCACGGGTGGTAGGAAGGAACTGAGGAACGTTGGGGTGGCTCAAACATTTATGCCTGAGCATTGTGCAGGAGGCAGCAGAGGACACTCGTGTAGCCCTGATGGATACCGCTAAGGGAAAACTCTCTGACAACTGTGCCAGTGGAGTGCACAAACACCTAAAGTGTAATGGACATGTGCAATCTCGAAGAACATATTCATCTTCAATTACAATAAGTGTTCTATTTACATTTTTAAGTGACTATAGAGAAAAAAAAACACTATGAAATCTTTCAGTAGAAAGCAAGTAAATTGTACCAAACTGCTAAAAGAATCTTTCTGTAAACCACAGACAAGATATTCATCTATCTCTTTATAAGCCCATAATCTTTCTAACAAGCAGCACGTACAACTTGTAAGCTGCAGAAACTCTGTATGCCTTTAAAATCCATTCATTCTTCAACATTCCTCAATTTGTTTATACTTCATCTTACATTGCAATTTGAGAAAAACAAGAAAAAGAAAACACTAATGAAAAAGCTGAATTGTGCAAGCAACTGAAAGGCACTGAGAAAACAGATTACTTTTATTTTAAAACGGTGTTTTAGAGTAATTTCTCCCTCCCCTTTTTTTAAAGATGAATGCTAATACGTTTAACTGTGTTTTTCTTAGATGTGCAGTGTTGAAGTTGGATTCTGGACAGACCAATTTCAGAGGCATTATTAGTGCTGGCCCATAGACAATTATGTCATGAGATCAGCTTTTGTAAATCTTAATTCTTCATTTAGTAATTCCAGTGTTCCATTTTATCCATTGATTATACTCAAATTAAGAGAATATCAATCTTAAATTGTAAAGCTACAAATTAGGAAAAAGTAGAAGTACTAAATGTTTATGGATAAAAGTCATTTACTACAGTTTTTAAAAAGGACTATTTAGACACTCTTGGGTCTCAGCTCCCAAGAAAGAGACAGGCTGGAATCCTCTCCACACTTCTCAGATATTTGGCCCTTTGAGGCAACAGTAGTTCAACTCCTCCCAATTCTGAGAACTGTCAGTGGCCCAATACCCAGTCTAGAACATCCTGTTTCAGTGCCTAGATGAGTAAGAAGTAGATAGCTCCTCAAATTGCAAGCATTTAGGAATTTCTAATAATCCTAAAGAACTGTTATGCTAGGGCAAGACTGTCAGGAAAAAAGTCAGTCACTGAAAATGTTATTTCCCTTCCAAACTCAGAGAACTTGGGTGGATGAGTAGAAATACAGTCAAATGACATTTTCAGAGAAACAGATTAACAGGTAAGAAACTACTTTTCTATAAAAGACCACCCAAGATTCCCACTCTTGTAGAACAAAAAGCTCAAGTGAAGTCTCTACAAATCTCTTCTGCTATTGTAAAATGAGCTCTCTCCGCCTGCCAGTAGGAGATGCAGCCATCATGACCAGTTCCAGACTCTCACTCCTGTGGACTTCAAATTCAGTTTTACTGGAGTTTTAGTGTCATTTTCGTCATTTGCACTATGCCCCAGAGAGGCTACTCACAGCACCTGTCTCCCATGTTTTAACTTACAGAGCTGAATATGCCTTCGATTTGTCATGATGTTCTAGAGGGGGTACTGATGTACTGATATTTGAGGCTGTACTACTGGTGCCACAAAAAGGCCAAAAATTTTTGAAAGCTAGGGTGAATTCTGGCCTGTCTCATAGCAGGTACGTGATACCAAAGTGTAGGAATCCCATCAGTGTTTTCTTTAGAGAAATTCTTTAATACTAAAGTAAAACTGCAATGCGGTATAACTACTATAGATAAGATGTGAGTTAGAATAAAAAAGTTTTACCCCTCAAACCTCACTCTTCTTTATTTCTTCCTTAATTCTCTGTGTTTTTGATTTCCAAGTCTTCCAACATAGAAATATTTGCTATAACAAATTCAGCCTCAGGCAGATTTCACTGCAGGATCAAGAAAGATCAGAAAATGGGATCTAATGAAGAAAATTCTTGTACAAATATCAGTCTCAATGTAAATGGACTCCTGCCAGAGTCTTGTTGGGCTGTGCCAGTGAAGACTGATATGGCTCAAGAAAATGAGTGAATGGGAGGTGCCTGTCATTGAAAGGGGAATCAGTGAATTGGCTTACTTGGCCCAGTGGGGCATATAATTGGCCACCTGATATTCTCTTATCAACCATCGTGGATGTTTCATATTTGGTGTGCAGACGTCCACAACTCTGTTCCACTCCGACTACTACAATCTACATTCTTGCCTGTGTACACCACTATGGCAATTTGTTTTATATGATATAGTCTTCACTTTTGTATTAGGAAATAGCTGGGTAGTTCAAGTCATACACATAAGCCTTCTTGTATTATAGGTGCATGTATTTTAGGACTGCATATTACTGCTGACAAAGGATATTCCTTGTCCAAGAGTTTCAGATAGGTGACTTACATTTTGACACAAGAATGCGAAGAGTTCTGCATTTACCCAGGCTATCCCATAGCACTGACTCCGCCAACTACTGGGTAGACAAATATGAGTTTTCCCCTGAAGAGAGCTGAATCTTTTAACATGAGAACTCGTGGATTCAATGGCACAGGCATGTGTGTCAGAATTTTTGGACTTATACATGGCTTCACAACTGGAGAGGGTACCCAGGAAGTCTCCAGGGGAACACATTTCATATAGGAGTGGCTATAAAAGTAGGGACCTTCCTTCTGCTTCAAGGACATCTCGTCTCAGGGTTTAGTAGAATAAATAAAGGTGGCATTTTTTCAGAGAATTCTACACTGTCTTCATTCAGGGATCCCCTCGAAAACGAGATTTAAGGTTAATGAAGATTACATGTGTATTAATGGGAATTATATGCACATAAAAATGAGAAGTGCCATCTTAATTTTCATGTGTGAAATGCAAAAAAAAAAAAAAGAGATCACTTGATTTAATTTACATTTTGAATTCTACTTGAAAAGAAAAAGAAAATACATACAGCATCTGTGACTTCTATTTCATACACCTTCTGGAATATCTCCCGTTCAAAGAAAAAAAGCTTCCCATTGCCACCTCCTTTCTTAATAGAGGTGCCCGTGACAATTAACTTATCATCTGGGCTGAAACAGCAATCTGTCCTGTAGATAAAATAAATCATCATCATAATGGGCACACTTGTAATATGTTTGGGAACATCATTACAAATATAGTTAAACGAATCTTCAAGACAATCCCTTTTATCTGTTACAGTTAATACAAAAGGTTTTTAAAACCTATTGTCAATGGCTTAACTATGTCTGACAACTAAAATCATACGTACAAATAAAGCTGTGCACAAAATATCCAAATTTGGCTAAACTAACAAAAATACCCCTTTTTCAGAAGTCTTATCAAAATTTCAGCACTGGAAACAAAAAAAATCAGCAATTTCCAAATCAGCAAACAAATGAGTAGGTCATGAAATCTGTTTTCACCAATGAAATATCTGTCAAATTAATTTTAAGCTGCAATTATAAATCTGAGGAACTAGAACCCAGCTCTGTAGAGCATAGGGCACCTGATATTCCCACATTGCCACCAGGAGGCCATGCAGAGGCACAATCAGGGAACACTGTGGCAAGTAGGTGCCACAGGAAGTACCATCCAAGAGACCCAGAGTGATAGTTCCCTGTGGCCGTCTAATTGGCCAAGTGCCCCTACTTAACCCCAGGGTTGCCCCAGGAAGTTGTCTGGGCACCCACACAGACTTTGCCTCGTCTCCTGATCTCCAGTCTCTGACTCCAGCTTGACTTCGACCCTGATTCTTGCCTCTCGATTCTAGCCTGGTACGCCCTCTGATGTCCAGTTGTCTACTTCAGTTTGACTCTGATTCTGCCTTTTGATTCTAACCTGGCACTATTTCTGATCTTCGATGTCCAACCCTGGCCTGACTGACCCTGACTCTTGTTTATGGGATTTTGGCTTGCAATTCCTCCAACCAGGACCGTCCCTAGCTATTTTCGGTGGCGTGGCTGGGAACCAGGGGAGCAGAGCAGGCTGGAGCCGGGTCACTCTACTTACCGGTGAGGGCAGGCCTGACCACTTCTGGAGTCCTCAGGGGAAGGGGTGGAGTGGGGGCAGAGCAGGGGCGGGAAGAGGAGGAGCAGAGATGAGGGCTTTGGGGAAGGGGTGGAGTTGGGGCGGAGCAGGGGTGGGAAGAGGTGGGGCTGAGGCGGAGCAGGGGCTTTGGGGAAGGGTGGAGTGGGGCGGGTTGGGGCGGAGCAGGGGTGGGAAGAGGCGGGGCTGGGGCAGAGCAGGGGCGGGGGCTGGAGCAGCAGGCAGCTGCGTAGGGCACAATTTCCTGGTGCCCTACACAGCTGTGTACTTTGCAGATGGACAGGGACAGGCCTGCCTCCCACTCCTGTCTGGTGACTCCCGTCCCTGAACACCTCCACTCAGTTAGAGCCCCTAGGCCAAAGGCTATACACCCTGATCACTTACAGCAATTGTAAGTAGATGGTCAAAACTATTTTACAACATGCTCCTTCCTTTCTCTCAATGCTAGAAACACGGAAAGAGTTCCAAGTCTAAGACTGAATCTGTCTTTGACTTATTTCTGAGGTATCATTTGAAAACTACCAATCTTCAGTGAGAGGTGTAACTGGCTGTGCCTAAAACAAGGTGTTCAGTACAAATCAAAATAATAAAATAAATACAATACCTGCCCTCCAAGAGCTCGAACACAATAATTTCAACATATAGATGCTACATATAATGTCCAGTTACCTACTTTCCAACTCTGCTCTCCTGCATACTACAGCTGCTAATTATTAAATATTATTAATCATATTTATTATGGGTAGTGCTTTGGGACCAACCAAGAGTGGGGCCCCATTGTGCCTGGCACTGTACAAACACAGAGTAGCAGATGGTTCCTGGGTGCGGAAGGGGACAGCATACTCAAGCAGAGTGAACTATGTGATGACAGCAATCATGCTAGCTGCACAATTATTGTCATTTTTCGGGGGTGGGCTTAGTTAGGAGGCAATAAACTACATGAAAAAAAAGTGAAGAGAAAGGGGACACTGAAGGGAAGGAAAGGTGACAGGGCAGGGGAGTGGAAAGTGAGAGGGGCAAGTGTAGAGTGAAGCAGAGGTGAAGTGACTGTGAGGGAGGTGGAGCAAGAGGGTTGGTGCAAACAGCCAATCTGCACAGGTCAGAGTTAAAACTGTAGAAACTTGTCTCAATATCCGAAGGTCCCTGCTTTGGCTTCTTTCTGCAGCTGCTCTACAACTGGAGTGTCTGGCTGGTTCCTCTGCAGTTTTTCCCCCAAGGTCAGATGGTGGGAGGTTGGGGAGAAGGCAGCACCACCTGGCTCCTAGTGCCTCCTGACTGCTTGAAGGTTGGGGTCTCCCCTGAACAGTTCAGGGTCCAGGGATGGCCCCAACTGGCCCCCATTTTTACCCTCACTTCCCACTACAGCTGTCCCTGCTTTGGCTATTTCTGCAGCTGCTTCTACTGGCTGGAGTAAATAAAGTACTTACATTGGGAAGAAGCTGGACAGACCTTCAACTGAGTTAAGAGGTTTTTTAAATTGCCTGATATCCCATGTTTTTAATGTATCATCGCCTATGAAACAAACAACAAATAAATGACAAAAGTTAGCACATAAGAGTCAAGAATTACATATTTGTAGGAACTTAATTTTTGTCCAGGGACCCAAAACCTAAATAAATCAATAAAACAAAAGCAGAAAAAAAAACCAGTATGTTTAAGAGGGCGGGAGTGCTACATGAAAAGAATGAGCTGTTTGTGCCTAAAATGATGGCTTCAAGTTCAATAATGAGAAATACCACCTGTAGTGTTCCTTACTGTATGCTTCAATGAGACTGTCATGGACTTTTCCTCAGTGGCAAAGTCCTACCAACATCTACTTTATGACTTTTAGCTGTTTCTAGCAGAATGGAAACTCCTTAAACATTAATCCTTCCTGTGCTTGTGGGGTTTTGGGGCTGTAAGGGATTTTTTTCAGGGGAAGTGGGGAGTTGTCAATTTAATTTTCATTTACTTTTCACAAGCTAAATCACAAAGGTTAAAATGGAAGGAACAGTTCAAAAGTTACATAAGATATATGGAGCCAGATTACAGCTCGTCCTACATGGGTGCAAAGGAGGAGGAGAGAGCATAAGGAGCTCTCCCCTTTTCCTTAGAAGACACACAGCAGCCAAGCATGGAGTGCAGGCATTAGCTACCTGAAAGGGGGAAAGGAAGGGTAGACAGAAATTAGTCCCAAAGCTCAGCCTACTTTCTGCACCAGCCAGCTGAGTAGTTACAGATGGTGCACACACTTCACCCATTACAAGTGCACCAAAATTGCTGCATATGTTCTCCCACTCAGGGGTGTGCACTGGGCGGGGGGGGAAGCAGGGGCACGCTCCCCTCCCCAATCAGCAGTGGCACAGAACTCCTCCAGGGCCAGGGTGGGGAGAGCGAGCTCCTCCTCTGCAGGGGGTATCCATTTCCTCCGTCTGCAGGGGGAGAGCAAGCTCCATCGGCCCCGGAGCCATGGGGGATGGGGTTGGGGGAGAGAGCCAGAACCACCGGCCCCAGAGCTGTGGTGGGGAGAACCAGGTCCTCCGGCCGTGTGGAGCAGGACGAGGGAGGCAGTTCCTCCGGCTGCGGGGGGGTACAGAAAGTGCCCCTTCAAAAGTGGCCACATTTTTATTCTTGTGTATGCTCCTCTTCCTACTGAAATTCTGAGGGAATCAGCCAGAATTCCTTTTGGGAGACACACTGCAGGACAGCCCCTCCAATAAAATTGTGACTGTAAAAGCCAGAACTACTTCACAATAAGTCATTTATAGCAGTTGTCATGTGTCTTTGATAAATGTGGTAAGAATCAGCAAGTCAATCAAAGTTATGCTATTTATTCCCTTTTGGTAGTTATGTCATATTAACTACGTGTTAAAAAAGGCTAGTTACCTGTAATTCTTGTGTGTAGAGAGATGTGCATATCTATGGCTTATCACTCTGGGGTACATATTTCCAGAATGAGAGGAGGCAGAAATTCTCATAGTTCTAGAATTTTGAGTCTCTGAGGCACCAACAGGGTCCTGCATATTACAGAACCCCCACTAAGGCAACTAGCTGACCTCCTTGCATTCCAGGTCAGTTCCTTACAAAGGTGAGAAGAGGAACTTGCAAATAAAAGTCATTTAAACAAGTACTAGATTAAATCTAGATAAGAAGTTACAGAATTCCCTTGAACTCTGATGGGAGGGGTTGGGTGAGCGGTAATGCACAGAAATGCACACAACTAGAGCACAAGAATTAGAGAGAAGTCATTTTCTTTTCTCCAAAGATATTCATCACTGTGGATTCCCGCTCATGGAGACTAAAGAGCTTAAAGAGGGTATCTAAAATAAAATGTAATGGAAAAATGGGTAACAGACGGTAACAACAGAAAATCAAGATAGGTGGCATGTCTTTGAATGAAAGCAGCGTGTGTGTGTGTGTGTGTGTGTGTAGTAAATAAAATATGAATGACTAAGATACCTCTTCAACATGAAAGCTTGTTGAAAGGTGGCAAATTTCAATAAAATTATTTTGACCAGAGTAAATCTATGTTGGTTTGGAATGCAGGGGGAGGGAAAAGAGAACAAGGGTTTTGAACTCCCTGTCTTGGGAATATCTATTTTTTTTAGGGTTTTCTAATAGTGCCCATCCCAGTAGTACCCAAGTGTTTGTTTCTGTAACATGAGAAACAATAATTATTGTCTAGATGCTAAAACAAAAGCACCAGTGCTTTGTTAATGTGTGCAAAGAACACCATTTGGCTAATTGCAAATTTCTTGGATAGGGACAGATCTGAGGCTAGCATCCAAGGCTGCTCTGTCCCTAATGGAATGAGCCTTGACATGATCTTTAAGCTGCAGACCCACCAAGCTGTAGCATGGAGAAATGCAATCAGACAGTTATTTAGACATAGCTCTCTTGCTAACAGCAAACCCTACTGTATTTGTGTGAAAAGAAGAAGCTAGAAAGACTTTTGCAGGGCTTTGGTCGGTTCCAGATAAAAGTCCAAGGTCATTTTCACATTCAGTTTCTGGAGAAAGGCCTTGTTGGGATGGGCACTGACAGATGTGGGAGAAATGTTGTTAGAATGACTTGGTCATTAAGGCAGAACACTTTAGATATAGGATGCATCCATGAACTACCGTATCAATGAAAATTTAATATGAATGTAAATCAGACACTGGTGCCCCAAACTCACACTTGGAGGTGAAGTCACCGCCACCTGGAAAATTACTATATGATTATCCCACAACACCAAGGTTTATTAAATAATGATTTCTAAATGCATCAATCCCTATAGAGGCTGGAGCAACACTGGTCTACCTTCAACTAGTTCATGACAGACTAAAATAACTGCCAGATAAATCCACACAGAATAAGTTTTTAAATGTACCCTCAAACAAAGAAAGAAGGCAGTCAAGCAGTTTTTTAAATGGGACATTCAGAAGAATTCACATTAGGCCTGAGCATACCACATCACAGTTTTTTCCCCACTTAAAGTTTTAAGTCCTTATGGCAGACTTCTCCTGAGAAGCTGGGATGATTTTATATAGTTGCGGAGAAACACAATGCCTCTAACTATCTCCATGCCAATAAACAGCACAAGGATCCCAGGGTGGGTTTACAAGCAGGTGCCCTGGTCCATGTGATTATTTGTGGCCAGACTCTTAGAATGATGGGATCAGCCACAGTCATTCCTAATAAGGTTTAGATCCAAATTTGCTACAGTTAACAGAGAGCTAACAGAATAATGCCTTCATTTTGGCTGACCCAAGATAGGTCTTTTGCAAATAGCCTTCAGTCAAGGTAGAACCAACATGCTGATGGGACAGGAGAAAATGCTGATCAGGAAGACTGTAAAGGATACAGGCAGGTGAGGGAGATACTGTGAAGCAAGGGTGCTGCCATAAATTGGAAAGTGAACCATATGATAATCTCCGGGGAGCTCCACTGTTGACATCAGCCAGGAGAGCAACTGACCTGGAAATGTGTGGCCCAGTCTAAGTCACCAAGTGAGTGTTGCATAAGGCCTGGTCCCCACTAAGTCCCCACTTCGGACTAAGGTACGCAAATTCAGCTACGTTAATAACGTAGCTGAATTCGAAGTACCTTAGTCCGAACTTACCGCGGGTCCAGACGCAGCACGGAGGCTCCCCCGTCGATGCCGCGTACTCCTCTCGCCGAGCTGGAGTACCGGCGTCGACGGCGAGCACTTCCGGGATCGATCCAGGATCAATTCATCGCGTCTTAACCAGACGCGATAAATCGATCCCAGAACATCGATTGCCTGCCGCCGGACCCTCCGGTAAGTGAAGATGTACCCAAAGGCTCCTGTGCTAATGCCTGAAAGGTTGTAAACTTTAGAGCTGTGGCAGTTTCCCTCAAGTCTCATGCTGAATGCACAGATCCAAGGATGATAATTGAATCATCACAAAGATGACTGGAAAAGATTCATTTCTCTGCACTAACAACAAAGTTTATAGATTAAGATAAAATTATTTAAAACACACAGGAAAGCTATTTACATAAAAAGGTTAACATAAGAGAACATCAAAATATTAAATGTATGAAAACAAAAACATATCTTTAACACTGTCTAAATATTTTCTGGCCCTTACATGTGTGAGAAAAATGGAAGGAGAGTATGCATGAGCAGCCCCGTTTTCTCTGAGCAATGCAGGGACTCCTATGCTGTTGCACCATTGAAATGTACATCGCCTCAAAGAAGGCAAGGTCACAGCCCTGTACTTCTGCAATGGCTCATGCACACGAGGCTGGAGAAAGACAATTAAGGAGCTACCCAGGAGACAGAAGCTGCTCATCACTCCCCACATGGGCCAAAAGCTAAATGACAGAACATGGACCTGGGAGAGAAATTATTTCGCATTTCTACACTTACACCATCTTCTATGTCTCTCAGGATGACCGGGTCCTCCAGACTTTACCCTTCCAAAAGACCATCCCACTTGGCATTATTAATATTAGCTTCTCTATCCATGAAGAAATTATGGCTGCTAGAACTCCAAACCTTCCAAAAAACCCTCTGAGTGCCATAAATTCATAGATTATAAGGCAAGAAGGAACCACTATGATCATCTAGTCTGACCTCCTGTATAACACAGACTGTAAGACTTCCCTGAATTAATGTCTGTTTGAACTAGAGAATATTTTTTAGAAAAACATCAATCTTGATTTAAAAATCAGATATTAAAAACAGGTGACATAGCTATATAATATCCATTTGTGGCAATAAATATCAGTGTTTTATTTAGGTGAATGTCAAGTTTATTTACTTAAGCAAATACTGATCGAAGTAAATCCAAAGTTATTATTTTACCTTAAAGAACAATTCATCTTGCTGTTTATCAAAACCAGGGCGGGCTCTACCATTTTTGCCGCCGCAAGCAAAAAAAAAGAAGTGCCCAAACTGCCGAAGCAAAAAAAAAAAAGCCGCTCGGACTGCGCTGCCCCAAGAATGGATGGAATGCCGCCCCTTAGCATGCGCCACCCCAGGCACGTGCTTCCTCCACTGGTGCCTGGAGCCGACTTTGATCAAAACAGAAGTCTGTATAGATCAAATTTTTCAAAATCATGGCCAATATGTATTGTTACACACTCTCTAAATCTATTAATCAGAAATACTGTATCTGGAATCTCTTCACATTCATCAAGAAGTTCTAAACCAAACAGTTTTTCCTTCTAAATATTTTAAATGGGAGATGTTTAAAAACTGAAAAAAAAAAAAGAAGTATATTCATCTCTGAGCCATACAGGTAGCACATATTTGCACATGCTATCTGAAAGCTCAGAGGTGAATAGGTTTCATTGAATTTAGCTACATATAGTCATGATACACTGGTTTTCATTTAGAAGTTGACTATTTAAGAGTCACCTAAGAGTTGTTCACCTCTAAGAAGATACACCAAGAAATGTATTGAGCCACCACATGATTTTTCAGAGATTTTTATCTTATAAACAACAAGAGAAGTTCACTGTAAGTTCTATATAATACAAGAATATAAAACTCAGTTCTATTTTTATGCAGGGCCGGCTCCAGCTTTTTTGCCGCCCCAAGCGAAAGAAAAAAAAAAAGATAAAGCCGCGATTGGCGGCACTTCCGCAGCAGCTCTACCACGCCGTTTCATTCTTCGGCAGCAATTCTGCAACCGAGAGACCCGCCGCCAAATTGCTCCCCGAAGACCCGGACGTGCCGCCCCTTTCCATTGGCCGCCCCATGCACCTGCTTCCTGCGATGGTGCCTGGAGCCGGCCCTGTTTTTATGATATATTAGTAGCTACACTATTGAATCACTCTTAATTGTTAAGATAAGAAAACATTGTCAAACATGCTTTTTTTAAAATAACGAAATGTGTAAATATCACTTTCTTAAATTTCTGTCAGGTGATTAATAGCTAATAACTGACAAGAACGAAGCCAGGAACTCTCATAAGCAACTCCTCTGCTGTTCCTTTTCCCTTGTGCCTGCAGCTGAGCTCTGCCTCACCTCCCTCATCTCCGAATCAGAATCTACATCAGATGCAGGGGAGGCAATCAGGCTTTCAGTGAAAGTCCCCATTCCCCCAAACAATGATCCTCTCTTTGATCCTCAGCACTTGGCAGGTGTGCTAATCTATGACTGCTGGATCCACACCTGCTTTTATTGGTACAGATCCAAAGCAATACTTGTATTAAAACATTAACCAAACAAAGAATTTAAAATAAAGCATGAATCCTTCTCATTTTTTAGTATAGCAGATATATAGAGTTTAAAAAATCATCTAACCAAGCAAATACTGTATATTAAGGTAATATTTTTAAACACACTAAGGAGCCATTTTTTATGCTTAAATCCTGCAATACTATAAATCAAGTTTTTATACAATTTAAACTGAAATGTGATAGACTAATGATTAAGAAAGTTAGACATAGTGTGACCAGTCATCTGGATGCCTGATCATCCGGATACACATTCTGGGGACAAATAAGGATGGGAAGAACACGGGGGAAGGAAGTGCAACACAACACTAAAAAGACACAAAAGCCTACCTAAAAAGACACAAGTTCCATAAATTCACAAATACAGAGCTTAAGAAAATGTCCTCCGAAGGAAGGTATCACATGGAAGGACAAATGAAGAAAACGAATAGCATAAAGAGAAAGTCTGATTAGAGCATGATAGGCAGCTTTGAAAATCTCAGCCTATAACAGCAGGAGGAGACTCAGAGAACCATTTATAAATGTTTCATTATTTATACAGGAGCACAGAGGTTGACAACACTTTACTGGCAAATAAGAAGCTCCCTTTTTCATGGTGTTTACAATACAAATTAGATAAAATACAAACCAATGACAAAAAATTACAGTGTATAGACAAGTGAATTGGGGAGAGAATAAATAATAAACAATATAAAGTGAATACTGCTCGAGAGATGGAGGCTTTTCCACAAAGAACAAATGAAAAAAGTTGTTACTTTTGAACATTTTGTATTAATTTTGAAAATTTCTTAATAGTTAATTTTATTTGTTTATTTTATTCAAATTTAAAATTTCTGATTTTGGTGGATTATTATTGCTCGGGTTAAAAAAAGATTGGAATTTGTACAATAAAAACATAGCAAAATAAATTAAATAATTTTTTTCAACAATTTCCCTTAATTATTTTTATAAATGTCCTTCCATAAATGTACCACAGGTGTTCTCAACATTCAAGCCCACCTTACAAAACAGGACTTTCTATTGTAATCTATATGGAACTGGAGCCATTAATACAGTGATTCTGATAAAGGAGCTTCTACTTTAAATAAACCAGCCCTTTGATCCTGCTGTGCATAGACTAGGAAATGTTTAAAAGCACATATTTTAACATCCACAAAGTTTTCAGGGCAGTACTTCTTAATTTCAGTACTGAAGACTGCTAGTGGGCATTGTGACGCAGTGTGCCAGGCTGCAAAGCCACTCACTCAAATTTGGCTCAGGTGCCCCTCCACCATGATGGAAGGGTGGCTGGACCAAATTTGAGTGGCACCGCATCCATGTGCAACAGGTCACAAAGACACTCACTCAAATTTATTCAGGACAGAGGGGTAGCAGCGAAGTTATGACATGATGAGCAGGAAGCCTTGCCGCACTCCCTTAGAAAGTTTGACATACTTCCCACATCCATGTTCAGAACTGCTGATGAAGCACAATTTTAGAGCAAGGTATGGTAATGAAAGATAAGATTTGTGAAGTATTTCAGATTAAAAAAAAATAAATCCAGAGAAAAGCTAACTTCTGATTTCAATGCATTATTTTCCTAGCATAAAAAATTACCTCTAGGTGATATGATTTAAAATGGCCAGAATTTCTTTCCCACGTTAGTTAATAGTTAGCATAAATCTAAACTTATTTCATTAAGCAACATACATCAAAGAGCTTTTTATTCACTTACCTCCTCGACTAGCAAGGATAGTACCATCATAGGAAAACGTCAAGCATGAAGTTTCAGTGCCAGGAGCATGTGCCTGCCTGCAGTGGAACTTTGTATGAACCTGTTTGTCAAGCAAATAACATATTTAAAAACTTTGTTACTTCCAGACTGAATATACTTATTTCCTTACAGCATTAAGCATTCTTTATTACATTTCCTGTCTTTTTTTTTTAATAGAAAATCATTTTTGAGTCAAGGAGGGGAAAACAGTTAAACATTTCTATAATCTTTTTAAAATGTTCCTTTTGCATTATAGATTATTATTATTATTAAAGTGGTTTTAAAGTCAAATTTTAACTTTTCACTACATTTCATTTTATAGTACAGAAAAACAATTGCACATCTACATACAATCAATACCCACATGTAACGCCCATTAATGAGAAATAAAAGATTGAGATTAAAATATTTTTATTACGAGACACTCAGTTCTCATCACTCCTATAGCAGGTTTATAGTTTAAAAATGTCAAAATGCATTATAAATATTTTGGATAAGACTTAAAAGAAGGACTAGGAGAATTTCTTTTGCCAAATTTAGAATCTGCCTAAGATCAGGGGTTATAGATTTAGAATAAAACTCAAATATTCTGAGGTTTGAGTTCCATTTTGCACCTGAAAAACTCATATTTGGAAATGCTGTATATTTTTTGTTTTAGTCCTAGAAAAAGGGCAGAAATTACTTTTATACATGAATCTTTTGCTTGCATAGAACAGACTTTTATTTAACCAAGACAATCCGCCTTTGTCTTGAAATTCCCTTATATTAAAAAGGGAAAAATGTTTTGTGAAACTCAAAAAACGTTCCGTGAAACCTCTAACTACAAAAAGTTTTACAGGTTTCACAAAACCCAGGTTCTCCCTTCCTTGCTTAAAACAAAGGTCCTAATTATTAAAGATACCAAAGCACTTTTCACAAACTTACGTTCCACTTAATTAAATTCCCAGATATTTCATTTAGAAAATGCATCCTTCTTTATTTTCTCTCCTTAAATGCTGTGTACAGCTGTACTCTGTTAAAGAAAAATTATTTGCTACCCAGATATAGCTGCATTTCTGTGATTCTTGGGGCTTGTCTACACAAACATGTAGTTTGCGGCAAACTGGGATGTAAATCTACCCTGTACTAGAATGCGGGCATTAATTGTCCATGTGGACCACACTGATATACACTAACAGGTCCTTAGTGTGTTTTGATTTAACCTGCTTTGAAATGGGTCTAGATCAGCATTTCTCAAATGTGGCCACCACGGGCTTTTCTTGCAGCCACAGCCTTCTGGGTCGTTATTGGTAGGGGGCAAAGCAGTGGCCCCTCTCTGGAGACACAAAAGCCTGAGGAGCAGGCAGCCAGTGAGTTCCCCACTGTCCTAGGGTGGTGGGAGTCGGGCTTCAGCCCTGGGATGGCAGGCTCCAGCCACAGGGCTTTGGGCTCCGTTCCCTGAGCTCACTACCCCTCCCATCACCTCTGGCCTCCACTGCCTCCCGTAGTGCCCCATTACCCCTGGCACCGCTGCCTCCATACCCACCTCCCCATCTAGGGCTCAATTTGTCCCCGGGATTGCCAGGGCTGAGTAAGTCTGCAGTGAAAAGTGATATTTGTGTGTTTGTTAATATCACTTTTCACAGCAGACTTAGTAACTAGCAAGTCTAAAAAAAAGCAACCAAAAAAAGCTAAAAAACAATAAGACAAAAGACAAGAACGTGCAAAGCACCTTATTTGAGTTTCTATTCTGTTTAGGTCCAGTAAAGAATAGAGACAACTGTACATTATTTTTATTATTGATTCTCCAAAAAAAAAAATCCTACATAAATAAATTACAATGATTTGGACATGTATATGTGCATATTCATTTGTTTTTCCTAAAGTTAATTAAGTATTTTAGGAAAAATTGTTAGAGCGGCCACCAGCAAGAGCTGATGGCCACATTCTGAGGCCACCAAACATTTTGTTGTGAGAACCCCTGGTCTAAATCAAAGTGCACTAAAAAACTGTTGGTGGGTGTCAGCAGGGTCTACATGACCAGTTAGTGTGAAGCAGGCTAGTGTGGGATAGATTCATACCTAAACTTGCCATAAACTAAGTGTTCACGTAGAAAAGCCCTTGAACACAGTTTGTGTAAAATGACAAAAGTAATTTGTACATATATGCATGTTTTTAAATCCTTCAGTATGGAAGATTTCATATATAAATTTAATCATAGGCAGTTAGAATTAAGGTTGTCTGCCACTTCCTACTATAAGTGTTTTCTCTTGCTTACAATTTTGCCAAACTTTAACCATTTGGGTTAAAATTCTTCATGTTGGACGTCTGCCTCAGGCTGAATTTTTTTTTTTTTAATTCGAACCCATTTACTCTAGTTGTCTCCAACAACACGGCTAGTGAGAAACAGTGTTTTGAGCATGATCAAAGATTCTTGAAACCTTTTCTCTGAAATACTTTAGTGTGCCTACCCATTGGAGCAGGGGCTTGAAATTTGACGGACAGTGGCCTATGTGTCAGGTTTAAACTTTTTGCCATCCTTGTGAAAATCTGCTCAAATCTGGCCAAGTTATAAGCCCTTGAAAAACTACACATTTGCATATGCTCAGTAGAGACTTCAATTTTAACAGCTAAAATCTAAGATTCCACACAGTGAGAGACCATGATCCAACCCATGACTGTGGGGGCTCAGATTCCTGTAATTGCAACTCCTGGCTGATCTGAGCCAAGGTGAGGCAAGGCACTGGACTTGACAGCAGGCTCTCTCCTGTGCTCTCAATGATCCCTTCACTCCCTTGCTGGCACCCAGCTAGTGTGGAGGAGAAAGCTGTCTGATTTGAATATAGTGGGGACAAAAGACCAGGATGAGGGGAAAGGAATCTAGTTAGACTGGGATTTGAGGTGGAGAGAGAAACTGTGACTGGGAGTTGAAGGGAAAGGACATTGGGACTGACTGGGCAATGAGACTGGGAGCTGTTTGTGAGGTAAAGACTGAGATCCAGCTGGCTGGGGGAATGAGACACTGATGTTGGATGAGGAACTGGAGGGGAAAAAGGGAAAGATTGGGACCAGTTGGACAAGGAGACTGGGATGAAGAGTAGGTGAATAGAAATGGGACCAACTGGACAAAGAGACTGAGACAAAGAGCCAGGAGGGATTTGTGGAGGGCGGGGAGGGGGAAGAAGAGAGAGACTGAGATTGGTTGAGGAGCCTGGAGAGAGAGGCTAGGAGCCAGTTGGAGAAGAAAGAGACACACTGGACAAAGACCCGGTAGTGAAGAACTGGGGCTTACTGGATAGGAGGCTGGACAGAAGGAGTTCGACAGGAAGGGGGAAAAAGGGCTGGCTGGGCAGGAGACTGAGATGAGAAGCCTCAGGAGTAGAGACTGGGACTGGTTGGCAAGGAAATTGGGACTGAGAAAAGGAGCCAGGGTTGAGGAAGAGACAGGCCTGGGACAGACAGATTGGAGGGGACAGGGCAGAAGGGTCTCTCCCCACTAAGGAACACTCCCCTCTGCAGCCTATAGCAGAACCCAATATTTCTCAGTGTCTCAATTTCTCTGCTGTCAGCAATTATCTGTGGAATTGACTGGCAACGTGTGTGTCTCATCCTCTTCTAGTGCTAGTTCCACATAGAGTATGATGATCTTCTATTGCTATCAGTTATCCATTAGCTCAAGAGGCAGAGGTCTGTGCAGTGGATCTAAGCTTTCAACCCTCCTGAGGACCCATGTGGGTGACAATATGATGCCACATGATGGAATTTCTGTTTTATCAGTTTGCTTTTAAAAAGCTAGGTTATTACACACAAAAAACTACATTAAAAACATTATTAAAGTTTTAAAGTCAAGCACTCAAAAGTTAGGAAATGTCAACATTAAGGTTGTCTATAGAATGTTCTCCGTGCCTCAGCTCCCCATCTGTAAAATGGGGACAGTACACCTCTATCACCTCAGAGGGCTGGGGAGAAGATAATTAATTTTTGCGAAGCACACAAACACTAATGATGAGCAACATAGAAAAGCCCATGAGGAAATTCAATAATTCCATCTTCCAGGTTTAAGCAGCATGCAGTAAATAAGGCCTAGGGCCACACATTGAAAAATTGAAGAACTGTTCATTAAATGAACACCATCCATCCTGTGCATTGAATGAGGCAGGGGTTCTGTGGAAAAAATAGTATGGTATTATGTAATTAAAGACTGTATCATAATGCATATGCACAAGTAGGATAAATTAGGTTCCACAGGCAACCTTGATTCTGACATTTATGAACTTTAGAGAGTTGACTTTGCAAACTAATAATAATGTTCTCTAATGTAGTTTTCTGTATGTAATATATTATATTTACAAATTAAGGGCCCAGATATTCACATAGGTAAAGTTAGAAATAGAAAATAGAAATAGAAATAATGGAGATATCCCATCTCCTAGAACTGGAAGGGACCTTGAAAGGTCATCGAGTCCAGCCCCCTGCCTTCACTAGCAGGACCAAGTACTGATTTTGCCCCAGATTCCCAAGTGGCCCCCTCAAGGATTGAACTCACAACCCTGGGTTTAGCAGGCCAATGCTCAAACCACTGAGCTATCCCTCCCCCCCCGTGAGCAAGTTGCTCACTTGCTCAGCTGTTTGCAGGATTGAGTCCTAAATATGGCCTAAAATTTAGGGGGAAACGCACATACAACTTACTCTTACATGTACAGATAAAGAAAGCTTGGGAAATCATGTACATTTTTCTTACACTACTTGGAAACTGAATAGAGTAACCTAGGTTTAATCAATGTACTTAGGAACCATGTTTAAAATTGTCATTTCTAAATTAATATACTTATTCTGGACACTACACATTGAGCAGATTTTAAATGAGAACTACAAGTTTTTGTTGGTGCTATTCTTAAACACCCAAGAACATATTTTATGACATCAACTACAAAAAGGTTGTTTTCAGAATGTGTGATAACACACTTGAGATGCACTGTGAATTATTCTGGTAAATAAATATCCTGCAATAATTATTAAATATTACCATGTAATTTAAAATGATTTATTTTGTGTTTGCAAAATACCACAAATAATTAAAAT